GAGGCAAATCCTTGAGAGAATGTACGGTTTGTAATTTCGAAACTTTTTGCTCAAGGCGAATAGAGCTTTAAACATTCTTCTCGCAAATTCCACCCTTATTCTAGAACCCGAATTTTCTATTGCATTTGCAATTATAGCAGCGGAGTAAGAGCGCGTTATGGAAATGAATTTACAAAGATATGCGGAGCTGTTTGGCATAGTAACCATGACCGCATCTACGTCAGCTTTTGGTTGAATTGTTGAACCACAAGCCACAACTCCTCCGATGCCTAAAGAACTGGTTCTCAATCCACTTAATGCAAACACAGCTTCTTCCAAGCCATTAAAAACACCACCTCTGCGCTTGCTTCTGCCTTCGGCCGCGCTTAGGGATTATTACCATTACTAAGTATAATACTCCTATCTATGTGTGTATACAACATTTCTTGTGCATATACATAACCCATATCGAAATTTTCAAAAAAAGTGGATAGTTCAAACCGAATTTATTAATAAAGTAGTGCTCGGAAATTTGAAACATTTGTTTTAAATTAAAGTTTAATCTAGTATTGGGTTATGCGTTTGGACACAACAACCGAAAATCATTGTACAAATAACTAAACCGGACCCAGGACCCAAGTTTCTTGATAAGGGGCAACAAACATTAATTATTGTTCGTTCATATGAAGCAGTGGATAAGAATTTATCTGTTTACCACCAATATTTCCTGCAAACACACATCGATTTACACCTTTTATCTCGCTTCCGAAACAATTGCTTTCGTACAAAATTTCGCAAAAAAGCTACCAATTTCTTACTCGTTCGTTTTTAGGCATGCCATTGTTACGATTCGTAGCGAAATCCGAATACGAAAGAGTTGCAGAATAGGGATGTTACTTTCAAAACGGAATCACGATACCGTTTTCGATGGATGAATGTGATACACTCGAAGTTGAAATGTCAATAAATATGTTAAAATCTTAAACAGGGAATGGGCCGGACCAAATATCTGGGCGTTTCGTTAAGAAATACAAGTTTTCCTAGCAGAACCTTTATAAAGCACATTTCATAAATATATATAAATATATATATATATAAATATTTAATAATTCATAAATATATATATATATATATATATATAGCACATTTCATAAATAAGTGTCTTAAAGACGGCCAGTATCCACAAGAATTGAAAATAGGTGATACCGAACCATAAAGAGGGAAGTAGTGAAATCTGCTCTATCTATCGCCCAATAACCAAACTGAGTACAATCGACAAAATTTTTGAAGCATCATTCTCAACCGCCTGAAAGTTTTTTAAAAGATAATCAAATAATACATAAAAATCAATTTGGCTTTATCGATAATTTTAATACTCTGGCAGCGTGTCTGTCCTGTACTGAATTTGTCTATGAAAATTTAGATAAAAAGAAAGATGTGGTGATACTGGCGATAGATTTGTCAAAGGCATTCGATTCAGTGAACTTAGAAATAATGATTAGAACACTGGCTGAACTAGGAATACGCGGTAATAATTTAAAACTATTTCAAAGCTTCTTATTAAATAGGGTGCAATATGTTCAAGTAAATGGGACAAAAAGCTCCACGCAGAAAATTAAAATTGGAGTCCCACAGGGCTCAAAGCTAGCAGCAACCCTTTTTTAAATTACATAAATAATTTATTAAAGCTAGACCTAAAAGGAGTTCCACAATTCTATGCCGATGATGGACTTATTATGTATGCAACTGATACAATAGAAGAGCTTACATAAAACATAAGGTCCGACTTGTGTAAAATCTACGACTGGCTTGACAAGAATTGCTTAAAAATCAACCTGACTAAAACAAATTTCCTGATATTTAATAACAACAAGCCAATACCAGACATGGATGACTTCCCAGGGATTGTTCTTAATAATGTTTAAATAAAAAAAGTTGATACTTCAAAATATCTACGAGTTTGGATAGATTCCAACATAAGCTGGAATGAGCATCTCAAAAATTTAAAACTAAAGCTAATTCCGCTCAGTTTTGCTATTCACAGAAATAAAAACAGTATTCCCAGAAAGCATCTGTGGCTACTGTACGAGGCTTTGTTTATGTCGCAAATAAATTATGTAAACCCAATTTGGAATCGATGTTCCGCACAAAGAATGAACGAATTACAGAGGCTTCAGAATAAAATGATTAAAAACATTCTACTTCTTCCCAAGCACACCCCGTCCAGAAGCCTATATACTTGCAGACTGGATGTTAATCGTTTTTGTATTTTGCAAACACTTATCACTGTTTATAAAATTAAAAATAACCTAATCAAACACAATATTGATATTGATTACACAGAAATTCCCGTATATAATTTTCGGAACCAACGTGACATGAGGACCAAGTTTTTTAGAACTGAAAGAAGTACTAAATCAATTAGGAACTACTGCGTTAAAACTTCTAACAAGCTGCCAGAACAAATATGAGGCGCTAGCAATTTACTTCAATTTAAAAGACTAATTAAAGAGTTCCTGTTACAAAACCCTGTTTTCGACTGGCAATAAAGTAGAATTTTCGTAGAGTAGAATCTTTTAGTAGAATTTTCGTCAAATAGATTTATCTCCTACACTATTGTATGTTATCAGTTTTCGCATTTTATTGAGTATTTTTTTTTTCTTTTCCCCACTGCTACGCGCACGTTAGCAGTAAGCAAAATTAGAAGTAAATTATGCCATTTTCTCGCACAAAATGTATTATTTTTTAGGAAATGGCTTTATTGAAAGCATAAATAAAGGAAAAAAAAACATTCGTATTCTTTTCAGGAAGTTACTAGCGGTTTTTGGTATGTGTGTCGCAAAGCAGCATTAGCATTCTCAATATATATAATATCGGTGGAGAATTTGGGAATACTGAAACCTTAAGTGAAAAAGAAGTGTTTTATGAAGACTAACTGCTTTAGGAATCGCTTCTCAAGGCATATCTGCGAGACATGTAGTAAATAACTTCTTTTTTTTTTAGGAATTTCGATAATGGCATAATTAATCGCTAGAAGAAACCATTTATGTACATATGATATATTTATTTTATTATGTATCTCATTTTAAGGGGGAGGGGGTTGAGTATGGTAAAAAATAACTTGTTTCTAAACCAAGCTAATTGGACAATGTTTTTCGAGTACTACTTAAACACATATACTCATCATTGAACATACAAAAAGTTAGGCGGAATATTTTACGAAAGCCAAGTCATGTTTTCACATTTTAATTACTGACTACACTTTTTTAAAATGAAAATATTGCAATATTTTAGCTGCTATTAATTTCGCACAGAAAAAGTAATCACTAGACCTAATGTGCATAGCTACGAATTACGAATTACGAAAATTCGGGTTCTAGCATAAGGGTGATAAAAGTTAAACGTAATTATAAAAAAATATTTTTCCTTTTAAAAAAATAAAATGTAGAGTGAAAAAATTCTACTAAAGAACAAAAAAAAAAACAAAAAAGGAAAAAATTTCCGCTGCCTGAAAACTCAGATCTCTCAAATGGTACTCTATGCTTAGCTCACTCGTCCATTGCGACTTTTGGGGCAGCGCGAACAAAATGACATACATATGTGTCTCTATTGTTTCCTTTGTGGTAGGTGATTTCGAATCATCAAAGTGCAGCATTCGAAGCTGGCAACGATATTTTCAACGACGGATTCAGTGATACTCCTGATTGGCTTATGAAACTGCCCTTGCGTGTGTAATTTTCAAACAGTGTCATGTATTCGGACACTAAATCTACTAAGCTGTCAAAAAATAAAAATTCAGTCAGAACAAGAGAGTAATACTGAAAAGTACCGGATCGCTTTCTGGTAAAAAATGGTAACTTCTGACAACTTCAACATAACCTCAGAATTATGCTTATTTTGTAAGCAGAGACCCAAAATAATTATTATCCTAATATTTGAGATGGAAAAGTCGCCTTGTTCTGTTTCGTCTTTTTATAATAATTATTTACGAGAAATATGTTTTTTTTCGTCTAGTGGGTACGGTATACGTACTGCCGATTTCACGGAATTAAACGCAAACATCTCCGAGCTTGATTATTAGAATTTCGTGGCGTTAAATATTTAACGCGTCAAATCTTCGAGCTCAATTAAGAAGTTTCATTTCAATAAAAGTCCCATATAATTATTAAGAGAAGACGTAAATCATTTCCGTCTTGAAATAAACGTCCCGGGAGACGAAAAAAATAAAAATCCTATATAATTATTATGAGACGAAAACAACTTTTCCATTGTTCAGTAATAATTATAGAGCAATATTTAATTTTATTTCTTATAATCATTATGGTCTCTGTTTGTATGTAAATAACCAACAAGTAATTGAATATTTTATAACATGCCTTAGCAAAGAACACTTTTAATTTGTTTACAATTTGGTTGTCAAACATACTTTAGCTGATCGTTTGACACATTTACCAGTAAAAAATCTGCGGTCCAAAACTGGCAAGTTCTGACAAAGAGAGGGCCTTATTTGCTATCTTATTTGTCCTCTCAGTTGCCAGAGAACCGAGTATGAGATCGATGTCCAGTCACATCTGGTTAATTCTGGTAAAAATTGTCAGCTTGGACTCATGCAGGATCACAACTAATATTTAATACTTCCATCACTAAATATGCTACTCCATAACTTAAATATAGTGTTTTTAACTTCATTTTTCACAATTATTTTGTTTCGATCTTCATAGTATTTATTTGTAATTTATAATCAGCTGTTGGAAAAGATAAGTAGAACTTAAGTCGCCAATATTCGCGACTTAAGCTGCACTTAAGTTTTGGTGAAAAAGTGGTTGGCGAAAGGCAAAATCGTAGCCTAGACTTAAGTTCAACTTAGAAATGCATTGTAATACCGGTCCTAAATGAAGTTTATATTAATTTAGTTACTTATGAAATAATTCTGCATATAACACCCTTTAAATGTATAAGTTGCTAGTGCGAATATGTGAATTTTACAATAAAGGCGCTTTTCACATTTCGTTTTTGAATAGATTATATACCACCACTCTCAACGGAATTGTCTATTGACGCTAATGAGGCTACTGATGAGGAAACGCCACCACCTCCTAGTCCAGTCAGCTCATCATATAGCGAACTACGAAGAGCGACGGATGCATTTAAAAAGCCATACCACAACTGTTATATAAAATCTCATGAAACCAATATTAGGTCTAAAGATATTGGAGAAAACAAAGATTTAAATGGATCTCAACCTCAAACGTATATAAATATGAGCTGCAGCAATGATTTCAACAGTTATTGTTCAACATTGCAGGTATGTTATTTGAGGAAAAATGTAGCGTATATGTGAATAATTAGTTCAACATTTTTTTGATTTCACATTATTTGGACGATATATGAAAATAATGATACTTAATCGGCCTTTGAATTAAACCAAAACTTCCGGGTTTTTGTATATTTTGAATTCTAAAATTTAATTCTTACAACTCACAGACCGCTAATCCAGACAACATAGACTTTTACAGCAATGGAAATTCCTCACAGGTAAATAAAATTTCATTATTATTCTTCTAATACTTTAAGACGATATTTTTTTTTACATGTTTATCTATCTTCGCCTAAAATGTGTATGTGTATTTGTTTGCGTTACTGTCAGTTTGGACACTGAGCTCCCATAAATTCATAAGCGTACAAAATGCCCGACAATATCAACAAATTTTTCATCCCTTTTGGCTGAAGTTTGGAAATGCGGTTTCTTAATTAGTTTTTGTCCTCTTTTTCGTAAGAGCTAGAAACTTAAGTATGGACTTAAAATATTCCCTTTTAATGTAAGGCCAAGTTTCGAGCTTATACCCTCAACTGCTTTATAAGTGTTGTAATGTCGTGGTGCCATAATTTTTATAACGGTTAAATAATTTTAAAGGGGCTCGCAGCAACAAACAAAAAGTTTTTAACCCTCAGGATATTTTTAATCATTACAAAACTGATGGCACTACGCCAATACAACATTCAATTCTCATATAAAAATTTAAGAATACCGTTAATTTTTTCATGATCCAATCATCGGACCTAAGCCAAATTAGTAAGTGACTACTTCCTTTAAAAAAAGAATTATAGAAATTGGTTAAAATGGTCCAAAGTTATGCGGAAACATACATAAAAAAATTATCTGGCGAACTGATAACTTCCTCTTTTTTTGAAGTCGGTTCAAAATTTAAAAAAAGGTGGCGCACAATCGATCTTATGGTCCCAGTGCTTTATCCCGTACAAAAATAATTATAACGCGCTTTAACTCTCAACTACCCCTTTGCTGTTTTGGGCCAAATTGCCTATATGAAAAATGGGGATTTTATGCTGGTATTCAGTAAGTCAGTCTCATCTCAAGTCACTGACTTTAATACTATAAATTAGTGACTGTTGTTGTGACTTGAGGAGACATTTTGGGTATTAAGTAAGAGAAAGTCAAAAAACGTATATCATTTTGCTCGCGGTGCTCTAACAGTCGCAATGGCCGACTGAGCAAAGCACTAGTGCGGCATTCGAGAGATCAAAAGCTCGAAACCTCGGACGTGGATCTTTTTGCTTTTTTGTAATTTTCCTTTAATTTTATTGTTTAAAAAATAATTTTTTTTTTGCATTTAATTTTTAATTTATTAAAGGATCTAGGTTTATTTCTTGATGCAGTTTTTGTTAAACAAATATTGCTTTATTGGCGCGTTTTCTAGAGTAAAAGAGAAAGCCATAGGAAGCCGTCATATATTCCTCCATATGTTTCTTTTTGGAACCTGCTCAGAACCAGCTTGTAAATTACTGAAATTTTTTTTGAACTAAATACCAAATACATTGTCTCAAAATCGATATTCACCACGAAAGTTCTATATTAGTGACTAGAGACTATTACTGCAACCAAGCCTTTTAAAATACCTTTCGCTTGATACCTGAATATGTATATTATCAATTCGCGATTCCATTCAGTTGAAAAGCACTGATTTTAGGATTCTTAGAACCTCTTTTTCACGTATATAAAACGTTGCCTATTGCACCACGATTACCGTAGATTTTGTACAAGAATCGGCTCAGTAGTTTATATAACAGACCTTGCCCGCGGCTTTGCGCACAGAAACGGAGCACTAACTCCGAACAAGGACCATCACTACCGGAGAAACCCCCTCATTTTCTTGCCTCTTGCCACTTGTCTGCTCCGCACATTACTGGTCCGTGTCGGCATAGAGCAAAAAAAATATATATATATCATCGTACTGCAATATCCCACAACAGATCGGCAGTACGCAACAAAGAACATCCACTGAGAACAGTTTTGCAGCGTTTGCGCCAATCTGGTAAAACAAAACACGACATCGGTACAGTGCAACGGATGTAAAAATTGGTCCCACCTGCAACACTTCTCAAGCCTTACGCATCGTGGTGAGTGGAGTGCTGCCTTCACTACAGCCTGCCGCCTCACAACGCCCAGCGCCAATGCTTGCGGTAGCCCAGTAGATACACATACACGACGACACTAGTGGAAAGGGCGCTGAAAACACCAGCGGCAGACCACTTCGTACACAATCAGGCCGCAGGGGCAGCAGGCAACAAAAGATGCGCTCCAGTACTTTCTCGCTCCACTCGCAACAATTGCAATGGGCTACAAGGTAAGATCGCAGAGACAGTCAATTTTTTGAGGCGTAATATCTCAGTCACGGCGATCCCGGGGACCAATTATAACTCAGGATCGAGCCTTCCGAGCTGACGAGTTCAACGTTCACCGAAAAGATGTCCTCTGAGCCACGAAGGCGGCATCGCCTTTATATTGAATAACGCGGTTTGATACCGACTCATTACCCCTCAAATTTATACAAATTACGCATTCATTGAATACCAAGGTTTGCTATCAATTCGAGTGAACAAAGCTGGAAGACGTCAACGTGTACATTCCCACGACAGCCGGTTCTACGTACCGGAATTACACGGGTTTTACCCGACCAAGGGCTGTTGTTTCGGCGATCTAACCCCGTTTAGGTCGGCGAAGTATCTCAGAAGTAGTTTGTCCATAGGGCTACATTTTCTACTTATTCTTCTGCTCAGGGCTGGCATTGAGTCAAACCCAGGGCCAGAAACTTACACCTGCTGTGTATGCCAGAGACGAATGCACCACAACTCCACCTCAGTCAAGTGCAATGCTTGCGACGGGTGGAGTCACCTCAGAGTCTACTCAGGCCTACGGACTTATCGGTAGTGGACCACATCATTTGTGGCCCCCTGCTGCTCAAACAGAGCAGCCTTCATGGCTAACCCTAGTCCACCTGAACAGCTCAACACAAACACCACAACACAAAAACATATTAGACCACACCACAACCACGACAGACCACACAACCGCACCACCACCCACACGCCGCCCCCAGCAACTCCTGTCTCCTACAATCTGCACGGTGTGTCAGTCCAGGATATTCCGTCAGTCAAGTGCAACACCTGCCTTGGCTGGTGCCACTTAAAGGCATTTTCAAGTCTGCGCACCACGCGATATTGGACGAGGAACTTCGCGGGCCCGTGTTGCGCTGCATGGTTGCATACCCCAATTGCGACGCCACCCACTACCACCACAGGGCGGCACCCTCCACAGCACCGCACACAACCAACGGCGGCACGGCAACACACATCCCTCACACCCCACATAACAACACGTCCCCCGAACCACATGAAGCTCCTTTAATTCAACTGTAACGGACTTCAGAGCAAGATCAAGGAGATAACCGTCTTTATGGGAAGGCATGGTATATTGATAGCTGCGGTCCAAAAGACGAAGTTGCACAGCATTTCAACATTGTTGAATTGCGCCGGATACAACGTGCACCGTCAAGATCGCGAGCGAGATAATGGTGGTGGCTTAGCCTTCATCACGCACCACACCGTGCAGTATCGTCTTATCGAAGCAGACATCGACCGCAGGGATACCACCCTAGAATGTCAGGGCATTGCTATCCGGTCAGGCGACGTGGAACTGGAAATATTTAACGTGTCACTAACTGTACGGCAGGATATCACCCTGATATAGGTACGCTCCTCAGAGGTGAAAACCGTATGGTAGTTGGTGACTTTAATGCGCACCACGATCTTTGGAAATTCAAGCCTGTCAAACAATAGTAGGGGAACAGACTTGGCTGAGCAGATAGACGATTCGACATTCTGCACAATGAACGACGACGCAGCCACCAGGATTATCGGCAGCGGCAGCAGCTCTCCAGGCAACACCAGTCAGCGCTGGTCTGATAAACAGCGTATCATAGCGACCTATGTTGACTTTGGCATCAAACCATCTGCCCATAGGCATCTCGATCGATAAACCAACCGACTTTGCTTCCGCGGAACACCGGGCCTATATCAACTTTTCTAAAGCTGATTGGAAAGGCTTCGCGAAATTTACTGAGAGCATCTTCGCTGCGCTTCCCACACCAACCGACGTCGGCCTTGGTGAACGTAAGTTCCGCAGGGTTGTCACTGCTGCTGAAGGTCGCTTCGTACCAGCAGGATGCATTACGTACCCCCGTCCAAACTTCCCTTCTGAAGCGTCTGTTCTAGCCGATGAGCGTNACTCAGGCCTACGGACTTATCGGTAGTGGACCACATCATTTGTGGCCCCCTGCTGCTCAAACAGAGCAGCCTTCATGGCTAACCCTAGTCCACCTGAACAGCTCAACACAAACACCACAACACAAAAACATATTAGACCACACCACAACCACGACAGACCACACAACCGCACCACCACCCACACGCCGCCCCCAGCAACTCCTGTCTCCTACAATCTGCACGGTGTGTCAGTCCAGGATATTCCGTCAGTCAAGTGCAACACCTGCCTTGGCTGGTGCCACTTAAAGGCATTTTCAAGTCTGCGCACCACGCGATATTGGACGAGGAACTTCGCGGGCCCGTGTTGCGCTGCATGGTTGCATACCCCAATTGCGACGCCACCCACTACCACCACAGGGCGGCACCCTCCACAGCACCGCACACAACCAACGGCGGCACGGCAACACACATCCCTCACACCCCACATAACAACACGTCCCCCGAACCACATGAAGCTCCTTTAATTCAACTGTAACGGACTTCAGAGCAAGATCAAGGAGATAACCGTCTTTATGGGAAGGCATGGTATATTGATAGCTGCGGTCCAAAAGACGAAGTTGCACAGCATTTCAACATTGTTGAATTGCGCCGGATACAACGTGCACCGTCAAGATCGCGAGCGAGATAATGGTGGTGGCTTAGCCTTCATCACGCACCACACCGTGCAGTATCGTCTTATCGAAGCAGACATCGACCGCAGGGATACCACCCTAGAATGTCAGGGCATTGCTATCCGGTCAGGCGACGTGGAACTGGAAATATTTAACGTGTCACTAACTGTACGGCAGGATATCACCCTGATATAGGTACGCTCCTCAGAGGTGAAAACCGTATGGTAGTTGGTGACTTTAATGCGCACCACGATCTTTGGAAATTCAAGCCTGTCAAACAATAGTAGGGGAACAGACTTGGCT